CCGCCACCGCTTTCGCCGACCTCTTTTGCCGACCTGATCTCCACCGCAATCCCACACTGGACGGCGAAATGGCGGAGGATGGGCACTGTCTTTGCGGCGTGAGCCGCACCGCTGAATTTAATTGGATTCGTCGGCTGTAATTAATGCGCCTAGCATCGGCTAAGACGGACTGTATTGATTCACTTTCAATATATTATCATCCTCCCGATGTAAAATCTATATCTCGGCCAGTTCGCGCATTCATATAGTAAACAACGTTACCTTTTTCTCTGCGTTTATCTGTATTATCATCAATATATTTTTTTAACATTTTTTAAAATTGATTCTTTTAGTTTTACATTATAATTTGTACATTATTGCAGTATTGTAACATTGTAGTAGTTATGACAGAGCGAGAGTCATAAAATTCAAAAATGTGTAGACATAGAATTCTGCCAGACAAGTATTCTGAATATGAACATTTTTTATGAACATTTTTTAGCGAACAGATTAGTAAACAAAATTTTTAAGATTCGATCTTCAAAATAGAAATTGATACGGGTACCTATCTCCCTTTACATTCAAAAATTACAGTAATGTTCAAAAGATCCTTGAAAACAGAGAGTCGATGAAAGATCGCGGAAAAACGACATGCAAGATTAGGTGCAAAATGAAGAAATTAAAATTAAGAAAATTGTAAAAACATATTATTATTTTAACTTTTCCAATATTCAATTTTATTAAATTCACTTTTTAAACAAAATAAAGTGATTTACATTACCAATCCTACAATTATATATATTTATATATGCAAATATTGTGTTACTTATAAAAGTTTATAAAATTTATGATAAATCATAAGCATAATTTTTTAAAATTGCGATAAGAAAACTTTTTATTGAGGCAATTATCTAATATTTTCACAAATCTGTATTTGTTGCGTCGAGCAGCTACAAAGAAAAAAAGTGATTCGTTGTTACTGGAACGCTTATGTCCGCATATGCCGCCCCAGGTGCACTTCATTAAAACTTTTAAAATTTTGCTTCGTTCTCTCATCATCGCTCGCGCACTGTAGCTCGCGAAACGTATAGTAGTTTTGCTACGTCGCGCCGAGCCGCGCCGGTATGAATTTGCTAGTCCCTTGAACGTCGTTACGTCAGTCGCGAGCTTCGTCTAGTGCTTTTACACAGTTTCTCATGTAAGTGTTTCACTCTACTTTCTTCACATATAACGTACATATACATATATATTGTATATATAATATATATATAATAATCCGTACTTTATCACAAACTCTGCGCAACCCAGCTATGTATAATCCATACTTATTATTTTAAATAATATCATACATACATGATTTTGAAAACAACAGGATTTAACTTTGTTCTTGAATATCAATTATGAAAAATTATTTATGTATGTGTTATATATATGTATATTTTTTCATGTCTATCACAAAAGTTTTAAAACTTATATATTTTTTAACTAGGTTTTTTAAATGGAAAAATCATCTTATTTTTATTCAAAATCATTAGTCACAAAAATAAAACATGCGTTCTTTTCAATGATTATACAATGTCTGAAAATGGGTGTTTTGTTTTTTCTAGACTAACTGCATGAACGCTCTCCGTGTGTAACGATCAATCTATATTTAGCGAACGAGTCAGTGTGTTATTTCTCTTGTGTTAATCTCGCGAGGATCTACGGGCCGCGACGACGTTATTAGACCCGGATGACGCGAGGGTCGAACGTTTAATCGACCTAGGAATAATGTCGCGCTCAACCGGGAACTTCGTCCCGCTGGTGTTCGCTCCCGAAGGATATTCTAATCCACCCCCGAGAGAGCTCGGTTTCTCGCAGAATCCGAGAAGAGGGAACGAAAGAGAGAGAGAGAGAGAGAGAGAGAGAGAGAGAGAAGGAGAGGAGTCCGTATATATGTCATCCTTCTGTATTTGGCTTACCGTATATTCATCGCAAACCTCGTAAACGAAGGACGGATGATAGAACAGCGGGAGTAGAACGATAATTTGGCTCGTTTCGAGTCGATAGTTCAGTTTCGAGAGACTAGAGTCGACTCGGTGAACAACTGCAGGCCATTCTACCGTCTTGATATCGCTGTTATAGACAGCGACTATCGACATATCCCGCGCTAATCTCGATTTACGACATCAAGTGGCAAGTCATATATGCCCCCGGCGGTTCTTCCGTTTTCGCGCCCGCGTCTTCCTGTTATTGGTCGTCTATTAAATCGGAACTACCAAATTGTCTAACACTAAATGCTCGTGAGGTACATCTGGATTTTATATTTGTTATTGTTTCTCATAACTGTCGTTTTTTTCCTGCCAATTTAAACACATATTTTGTTTCGTGTGTAAAATTAAACAATAAACAAGAGTTATTTCTTGTAACAAAAGACGCAAGAAACGTTTAGAAATATGTCGATTTATTAAATTACAATAAAGCTGAGCTCAAGTAAAAGAAAGAACATGCTTGAATCTAAAAAGTGTTAGCATTGCGCATCTTATTCAAGTGCTTAAATTATATTTTAAAAAATGCTTAACAACTATTCGGCGAAGCTGCGGATTTATCAATTTATCGTATATTCCTTTGGAAGAGTTCCTGGCCAGCGAAGAGATTACTTGGAATGTCGCCAGGCGAGCAGCCGCTCGTCCAGCTGGAAAGAGAAACTTGCGAGGCGCGCTTTGGGAACCTTTGTGAGAGAAAGTGGCGAAAAAGAATGTGCAGTGGTGGACTCGAAGAAGAAAAAGGGTGGCGAAAGGAAGGACGAGTCTCCGAGGTAGCCAAAGGAGGATAGTAAGCGGAAAGACGGTAGGAAGGGAAGCAGAGAAGAAAGGAGGAAGGAAGGAAGGAAGGAAGGAAGGAAGGAAGGAAGGAAGGAAAGAAAGAAAAAAGAGCGAGCAGCGAGAAGTTCGAAGACGAAGGCGAAGACCGCGAAATATCTGTCAATCGCAAGAGCGAGGAGGACCGTAACGGCAAAGTCGATTTAACGCCCGTTAAGGAAGCAATTCCTTTAAGAAGGACGAGCACCCGGCAAGGACACGAACTCAAGATCCTTGACCCTTGCCCAGGGACTTACGACCTTTCTGCCAGAGAATCGTTTCCGTTCGCCATTATCGACGAACGAATAGAACATCAATAACCAATTTTGTAAGACTAATATCGCGAAAATTAGTTTTCCGAAAGTCTTCTCTCTCTCTTTCTCATTGACTCTTTGTATCTCATCACTTATACTTTCTTTGTTAAAGGATTATAAACTCGCTCTACGGTGACGTTCATGGTTTTCTTAATGTCTATCTTCAGGATAATAAACAATAAACTTTTTATCGTCACATGAGAGAGAGAGAGAGAGAGAAAGAGAGAGAGAGAAAGAAAGACAGAGAATTTTTCTTCTCTCACTTCTTCTTTTTTTGCGTTTTAGAGCAAAGTTTAATTAATATTTTCTTTCAATTTATTTTTTTTTCAACATTTCTAAATTTTCAATATATTTTTAAGATAAATATAATAAATATAAATTTTGTTATTGAAACCAAAGATATAACAATGACACATTCGTTGAATTAAAGATTCCTTCAGTCTTGTATTCAATTCTGAAAAATATACGAAAACTTTTTCATATATGTTGTTAAAATTTCACAAAGATTTTACGCAAGTCAGTAATTTCACACTTGTGCTTAAGACTTAACTTACACAATTCCGCCCAAGTTTCACAGTGTTATCTTGTCAAAGACGTCACGCGTATTAAATAAGCTACAGTCCTTTAACACAAAACGCGTTGCTAGACGAACTATCGCGCAACACGACCAAATGCAAATTTTACGAGTTTTTCCAATAACGCTGATGAATAAGGAATCGTGAGGTCGCTCGCTATAACGTCGTAACGAAATTGAGTGTGGAAGAAGAGTTGCGTAAAGATCTCGTTGAAACTGTGTTTCATCAGGCACTGGCCTTTTTTCGGGACTTTTCTTCTCACTCCGCCGCGTTCTTCGCAATCTCGACCCCTTTATATATTCACTCTTATCAGAACGTTGTAGGAAAACACAAGCGACAAAAAAGGCCCGAAACAGGATTTTGCGTAGTAAAGTTGACGAAGTACTCGCCATACATTATTCCGCTTGCTTTTTTGTACACACGTCTTTTCGTGTTATGTGTTTTCGCACGCACTGTTTTCTTCTTTTCTTTGATATCTTCTTGATAACAGTCGCTTGTGAAAAGAAATCAGAGAATGACGGATATAACTAGATATTTTTGATGAAAACTATATACTTAAGATAAAATATATTTACGGTAGTTCAAAAAATAATATTGTCTATTCAAAAGTGATATATATATATATAATTGTATATTTATTGTTTTAGCACAATATGATTTTATTAGAATATTAAAAATATGATTAAAATATTAGAATATTAAAGATATGCAAAAATTTTAGTCTTTTCTTTTGTAACTTTTATTTTTCTATCATATGTAAATTCATATGTATAATATATCAAATATGTAGTATAATTGAGTATTTACTCTTGTTATCTATAACTTTTTGCCATCTCTCGAGTAAATTTTAGATTCCATCGCAAAAAAAACATTGGAGATAATAAAATCGTCGATCCAGTTTCGGCTCGAAAGCGCTGTCCGGCTATAAAGCGTTTTGCATCGATTCACATGCTCTTTAGCAGCGTTTTCTTCCTATTAGAATTCGTATTAAATGCAGTCAAATATAAAGCTTTTTTGTATCTCATGTTCACTACGGTTTTGTAAGATTATGTGTATTATTAAATTCTAAGATATAAAATTTCATAGATTTCAATATCAACCTTATAAAATAGCATGTATTTATTTGAATTTAAAATAAGTATATTAAAACGCACTGAAAAAAAGACTAAAACTTTTTTGGATACTTCTAATACTTATTGTGCATTTGTTCGGAATTAATACCCGTTATATTTTTGTAAACGAGTGAAATGTCGCAAACAAATGCAAATCGCTTTTAATAAATATCAGTCGTCGAAATGTCATCGCACCACGTAAATTTGCAGTTTAGCAGACAGTTGCAAAATCAAACCGTATAAAAAGTATTTATGCTAAAATAAAATATGAAATTTCCAAAGTTCTAAAAAATTTTTTAGTTCTACACTTCTGTCAAAATTATATCGTACGTTTGTATCGTACATTTTTATATATAAGTTTAATGATTTGTTTGTTTCACGTAAAATATTAAAATACAATATAATCGCCAAATTAGTATCACTTCCAACACTTAATCATACACAAAGAACTTTTAAAAAGCTTTTTTTACATGATAAGCATTTTTTATATGGACACAATTACTTGCTAAGATTTCCTTGTCAAGAAACGCAAGAGAATTTACAATCTGTGTGTGTACTGTAATCACGAACACGAAAGAAAATGAAGAGAGGAACGAAGTGTATCGCACAAACCATTAATTTGTCCAATCCGCAAACATGCGTAAGACCCAAAATTCAGAAATTCGTTAACGCGAATGGAGATGTTTTTGATTCTACTCGCAACAACAAAACCAGCTGGACATCTCCTAGATCAGTGGCGGTTAAGATCTGTTCCTTGAAAGATATAAAAGATAGAAAATGCTCACCAAAAGTAAGAAACACAATTATTAAGAGTTATAACATTTGTTTAATGTTAAATTGTACAATGTCCCAGTTGACTAAAAAATGACGGAATACTATTGATACCAACTGCTATCTGTTGGTATCATAACCAAAAACACTAACGATATTGTATTTTTGGCCTCTTATCTATAACACAGTCGCGACACCAATTCTGGGTTAAATCGTGTGGCTTGTCGCTGTGTCGAGCGCTCACTTGCTCTCGCGCGATATTGACACACCGTGTAACGAGATGATGGTGTTCGAGCACCTGTACGGAATTGGTTAGTCGATACGTAGTTGCGTTTACCTGGAATTAGCTCGGTGTACACTACTATAGCGACATCGATGGGTCTCTAATGGAGGAGGACAGTCCGAGTTCCCGTAATTGTTAGAGACATCATCTGCGTAGGTCTTGGAACACGAGGTCAAGTGTACTGACGTATAACGTCAATATATATCTGTTTTCATGATCGGATAATTCAGCAGTAATTTTTATCAGATAAATGCTGAGTTGATTTCAAAACTAAATACGCGATTGAAATAATATCAGTGAGTGCTGAGCATTGTTGATATCTAATTCAAGTCAATCTCTAATATTTGAGAAAATTGATATTGAAAAAATATGTACAAGAATCATTTAAAAAAAACTTTGTTCTAAGACAGACATGATATGGGATTCTACTTGTGATATGTATGCTTTAATGATATTATATTATATTTTTAGTTACATATTATTTTCATTCTGTTTACATACAGATGATCGATAGTTGTGAAAAATCGATGCCGGTAACGAGCGGCAAAAAACTTTTCCGAATCGCAATGTTTCTCGTAAAGGGTGCCGTTGTCGTTAGTCTCGTTTATTGGACGTATTCGGAAGGTCTTTGGAGCGGCAGCAGCCAAACAGAAAATCTATATCATAGAATAATGAGCATATTTGATCCAAGCCGATCAGTAAATGTTATATTTTATAAAATCGCACATATTGCTTTCGCTCGTAAACAAGTTGTTGTCTCCGCAGGAACAGTTGCCACATCTGGAAGATATGAAATATTCGCTATTAGAGATATACAATGAGATGGTGATGAAAGTTATGCATGTCATTGTTAATGTGCCAAGGGAAATATATCGAAGAATTAATGAAATCTTATCATCTTGTGATACAACTAGAAAAAACGAAACAAAATGAAATCTGATGAGAGTTTGAAAGAGAAATTTAGTAAATTGGTGTTATTATTTATGTGTGTAAGATATATCTTTTATATATTGTGACGCGAATATGTATTTTTTTTATAAAAGTTTATGCAAACTGTTTCGGTGCGTTTTCTTGATATAAACTTTTTATACGATCTTGTACCGTGTTTTCGTTGTGTTTTCATATAAAATTTAAGTAAACGTCAAAGTTTTTAAATGCAAATATACATTATAATTTTCCGAAACATTTGCGCAAGCTTTAAAAGACATATATACACACACAATGTGTATTTGGTAACAACAGTGAATATATAAAACAGGATTAAAATTCCATGGAGCATCTTTTCCATTTTTTCTTTGCTATGCTTTGCAAGAGCACACAAGGGAGCTTACAAGGCATGCATCTCAAGCGATTTTTATGATCAGTCTATATACATTATCATAAAATAGAAAGAATCACTAACAACGAAATAAAACGCTCTTTTTACTGGCACCGTTGTTTAAATGCAAATTTTATAACACTACATTTCGTACTAATGTCTAAACCCGTTAAAAAAGAAAGACATATTTTTAAAATCATATTTATAAGATTAAATCAGCAACACACACGTTTACCGACGTATATTCATAACGCTTAAAAAGCGGAGCTTACGTGTGACCAAGTTTCGGCCGAAGAGCGCGGCACAAAAATATCACAAAGCTCCGTCGCTCCGAGTGACTTCTCACGTGCCGAGTATTTCTTTTTTGTCGAACCGGAAGGAAGTTTCGGCCCCATTTTTCAAGCGCGTCTATCTTTTTGCGAGCACGTGAGCGTCGTTTGTCAAGGCTCCTATTTTACTTTATAAGCGCGCTTCTCTCTCGGGTATACGTTGTTGCGCGACCGAAGTAATGCCGATGTTTCTTTTAGTGTAGGTATTTGTATGTAGGACAGGACGGCGCAGAAATAAACACGACCATAGACAGACAATTCAGACAATTAAACAGTTTATTCAGATCAAAACATGTTGGGTGGTAGTATATACATACGACTTAGAATTAAAACGATATGAGTCTGATATGAAATCGTCTATACAGTGAACTTGAGGTTTTTTTCGTTTACGGCTTGTTGATCGATTTACACGGACACTGATTGCGTCGATACGTACAACTGATTATGTACAGTTATTACTCACTACTGTGTTTTCCTTCGTGTTAATTTACGCTTTTCTATTTTTCACTCTTCTTTTTCCACTCTTTTGCACTTGATTGTTTGGTCACGCCGACCGAGAACGTTATTTTTTCGTTTATCTACTTTAGCGATCCGTCTCGCACGCTACTTAAAATTCTTACACATAAAAAGATTAATATCCCCGATATTACCCGTTTTACAAAATGAATATGGGCAGTAGTTCGTCTTATTTCTATAACTCTCGGTCCGCGTTAATCCTCATCATCATCATCAGTCATCCTTAAAACAGATTCGCATGGACGTGAAAGATATGCGTGTCGCGTTCGATTATCACTTCTTCAATTCTTCGACAATCTGTATAAAGAATTAAATAAGAACTAGACATTCAAACAATTATTATCAAGAAATTACACGATGTTATCTAAAACTAAATATTAAGAGCGCTTATATAGCATATACGCGAAAGAACAATTATAACAAAAATAAAATAAATTTGTGAGCAGAAACATCGTCGAAAAACTGTGAAGTTCTGACGACACGAATTGTTGGTTTGCAAAATTTCGATAGAACGAATTATCGAGCACAATGTGTCATGTAAGTGAACAAAACGAAGATAATAAATATTAGTTTTTTACATAATATAAAAATTTAAATGACGATGAGTACTCGACACTGTCATTCTATCGGTTATCTCGAAAACTCTCAAAAGCTCTCAACTTACCGTTATTTTCTCGTGATCGTAATATGTACAGCAATACATTAGCTAACGAGCAATTATCTTACTCGATCATTTATACATCAAAACAAACACACTCGACGATCGATTCGGCTTTTATTTATTTTTCTCTACTTTGACTGACGAAAACGACTCTGCGTGTCGACGACACGACGCGACGCGACGACGACGACACTCGTTATTCATTCCTTAGTTCGTCATTCAATCCTTTTTCTCCGCATTATGAGTCTATCGATCATTCAAAGCGAGTGCGAACTTTTCACGAACAAAGTTCGCGTTTCACCATTCCATTAGGGATACGCTTTTTTCGTCAATTCGTTAGTTCCATCCTACATCCAAGTTTCATGACTTCGTCACTAAGTGTCACGTGGAAGACCAGTTTTTTGCAGAGCTTAGCAAAGTGAAGTAGTTTTTCACAACGTAAATGTAAAAAAATTCAACGAAGTGTCGTTCACTATATGTATCGCGAGTTTTCACTTTACTGATTTTTGTCTCTTTCTTTTATCTCTCTCTCTCTCTCTCTTTCTCTCCCTCTTTTTTTCTGTGTGTCTATCCCTCTTCGTCACGAAACGAAAGATACCGATATAACGTTGATAACAATTCGATGAAAAATGCATAAACTATATATATATATACACATACACACACGCGCACTCACATTGTCATGAGAAATATCTTGCGGAATGTTTGAGTCTTCGTAAAAATTTTTCGACATTTACAGAAATACAGAAAACTCAGCACACAGCGGTAGAAAAATCTATAAATGCTCTATCACAAATATTAATAATGTGTAACGCATATCTGTTCTTGACTTTGTAAGAATTGTTTTACTTTGTACGTTACGCAACTCGGCCTATTTCGATTTCATTCTTTTCTAATGGGCATTGTCATTTTTCACGAGTATGTTTGACGCTGATTTTCAACGTCAGAAGATATTATGTGATCAGAACTAACACAGCGGCAGTAAAATGTCATGGAAAAGCACGAGAGAAGCCAGCGTCAAAAGTTATTTTAATAAATGATTTTCATAATATAAAGAGAGAAAAAGAGAGGGAGAGAGAGAGAGAGAGAGAGAAGTTGTACACACACACACACACACGACGACAATCTGACAATTATTTTAATTTTGTCTAACTCTTGTATTATTTCACCGTAACTGATTATTTAATTAGAATCATATTCATTAATATATAATTATTTAATTATATCATATTAAAATACCATAAAATATATAAGATAAGAATTTTCTTCTTTACTACTTAAATAAAATTACTTATTTGAAATTGCGTATATGCTTCATCGTGATAAACGTAAATGGCATCGACAGTGTGTTATCGATTCATTCGGCGTTATCGATTTGCGTGTAAAAGTTATACTCAAAAATATCGGATTCGCAATTTAAATAGGATATGGACGCCTGCGGTTTCTCTCTTTCTCTTTCTTCTTCTTTACCTCTCACGTTTATCGCGATATCGAAACCGATCGTTCAACCTTAAAACCGCATTTCACGCCTTCAAACTACATGCCAAAGTGGCATCGAGTATTCCCTTTCTTCCTTTTCGCACGTCTCCCTTCCTCCTTCCTCTTCTTTCTTCTGTTCCTAGTATATTTTTGCGCGGTTCCTCCATTCATCTTCATTCGAGCCATCGGAAAAGGGGTTCGTTCAAGAACCTTTTATCTTTCTTCGTGTTTCAAGACCTGATGCTTCCGGACCAACGTCTCGTGTTGCTAGGAATCGGATTTATTTAAAGATATCACAAAACGCTAGCGAGCTTGTACATAATAATATACATATTATAATATGTAAGAAAAAAATAATTAACTTTTAAAAATAAAAAAAAAACAGATATAAGTAGTAGCGTAAATGTACAAGTATTATATAAAAATAAAGATTTTTAAATTTATAAAAGATAATTTGGTAAAAAAGAATTGAATAAAAAGACGATCTCTCCTCTCTTTCTCTCTCCCTCTATGTTTCTCAATATCATTATATAACAAAACTTATTTGATAGCAAAAACATGTTACTTTTGGAAAAGGCATCGTAAATTCAACATTCTATCTGTAATAATTTCCACAGTACGAGTTTCTGTTTGTAACTTTGATCTCTTTTTGTTAAATAACGAAGAGGAATAAAGTTACATAAAAAATATTTGAAAAGACACCGTCGAAAATGATTTGAAACAAAAGAGGACAATAAGTACAGTTAAGCCGATGACCGAAAACAGAATGTAATAACTTTGCAATACTCTACCGACATAGTAAACTTGGGACAAGTTTTCAGCCAACTTCTCTCCGCATACTTCCGCTTCTTTCCTCACTTTCCGACGGGAAACTAGCGTGTAGCGATCGTGTTTCGAAAACAATTGCGATAGTCTGGTGATCTCATGAGAATACCATTCCGCGAGAAGTCGTTTTCGCGTCTCGCTTATCTCGTCTCGTCACGGATAACAATTCGTGCGATAGTCGATCGCTCGCGAGAGAACATATCTTCTGACAACGCAACTTTCTCTGACCTGTGTGCTATCGATCGCGCACAAACTACGTATTCGTCAACATCTGCTTACTTCATCGAAATAAAGTGAATCGCCAGTCAAATCGTTAATTGTAAATATCGTTAAAGCTAACAAACTGTCGTCACGAAAACGGACAGAGCGAACGTTCATCTCAACGAGAGAGACTTTAAAATCGCTGTTAAAATTGCTTCTGAACACGCAACAAGCACCACTCTCAAGTACACACATTCGCGGACTCGTCTCTTGCTTAGTCGCATTCCTCTCTTGAATATCACCAAGGTGACGACAATGATAACAACAAAGACGACGAAGCGACGTCACCTGCTCGGGCAAAGAGTTGAGTTTCTACACGCAGCTCTCCGGTAGCCTGTTCGCCATCAGTCTTCGTTTGATCGCCTCGCCGTCGAGACACTCACCGGCCACGACGACACCCTGACCGCCGCCCACGACGACACCCTGGGTACCGCCGATGACGACGCCCTGCCCAGCACCCACCATCACCCCCGTCACCGGCATCCCCGGCAGACTCGGTATCGTGCTTCTTGACGGTAACCTTAGCTCCGTCGGTCTCCCCGCAAACTTGTGGCAGAGTTCGTCTATGCTCGGCGTAGGTCCGGGCGTAACCCAGTGTCCCGGGGGATAACCGCCCGGGTAACTCGGTGGACTGACCTCCACGAGGTTACCCTCTGGAACAGCGAAGCAGACGAGATCTCTCTGTAGGGAACCTCCATGAAATGCGTTATGGCGCGGAACCGCAAAGACTGAGTGCGCTTTTGCTCACTTGGTCTTCTCAATTTTCTTCTCTCTCACGTTGATTGTTTTATCGCCACTCACGCTAAGAATTAAAGAGGGTCAGAAATATAAGAAATATTTTAAAAAACAATCATCTCCGCGTGTTTGGATTCCTCTATTGGATATCCCTTTATCTATATTTATTATTTTTTGTATATTTTACTTGTTATAATAATGTTACGATATGTCTAATTTGCCGACATTTTATTAAGTAAACGAAAAAACACAAAATAACATACATTAATGTACATGTATTCCATATTCCTCAAGTTTAGGAAAAAGACAATGCTTTTCTTTTGCATGTCTGTAACAAACAGGTGCCTACATCGAACGAGCAGAACAAACGGTCGTAATCGGATTCGCGCACGGAAAAGGCTGTTTAGTGGTATTGGCTTCTCGAGGAGTCTTACCAAACTTGTTCGGGATCACGTCGGGATCAGTCTCTACGGTCTGCTGAGAATTCTGCAAGGGGTATTGTTGAGGCGGCAACTCGCTGAGTTCTGCCGGTTTCTCGTGCCGTGGCTTCGCTACGCGCTCCCTTCGTACTCTGACCACCACGACCAAGATGATGAGAACCAGAGTCACCAGAGCGCCCACCACTACGCCTATCAGAGGCGATAACACAATGCCAGCATCCGGACCTGTAAAATCCAGTGTTCTTTTTTTCTCCTACTTGAAAAATTTAACATTTATTTAACTGAAGTTTTATTTATTAACTTTTTTATATAAAATAAGATGCACATATTTAGATTAAAAGAAAAAAAAAACAGCTTATTAGCGGCAAGATATTATTATTATACATATGTACGTTATAAACGGTTTTAAAAAATATAAGATACAAATAAGTCTACAATTATAATCACAAATAGTCGACATAAATTAATTTTAAATCTTATACACATTTAAACACCTTTTTTTAAAAACTATTCGGCTCGCGCACACGTGATAGCGTCTCGTCGTTTGATAGCGTTGCGGCGTGGGATCGTGACTGCTGTTTTTGTCGGATAATTAACAAAACTGCTTTCTTGCGCCGTTATGAGTTGCGGCGGCGCGATCAGGTGCGCATGCCGGCGTGCAAAGTGGAGAACCGAAAGTGCATCGCGCTTCTGCAGGCCTTTAATTCTTAAATTCTCGTCCGGCTCCAACTTATTTACGCCGATTAAGCCAACTTCCGCGCGTTTATATCGCGAGCTTGAATCACGTTTAATGTTTGTTTTATCCAACATCAAAAATGTTTAGATATATAAAGTGTAAAAATACATGTGCACTAAAGTTTTTAAAATATAATCTTTATATTGCGAAATTTGTTTTTTTATATGGAGAAAGAAAAAGAGAGAGAAAGATATGTTTATATCTGTCTCTTTACAGCAAAAATATTATTTCACAAAACATATCTTGGAATGAGTACTAAAGAAGAAATGCATCTTGACTGAAGAAAAATTATCAGAACAATCGAATCTCAATTTTGCATTTGGCACATCCCTGTATAATATACAGGCATATTTATGCGTGCAAATGCATTAGGAAGCACGTGTGCGCGCGCTTATACGTGTGAGGTATTTTGCCGCTACGTGGTACGTGGTAATGCCCGTAAAACCCTAGGTTTAATCAGCCAGGCAACCCCGTTGCCATGACCGACCCCATAACCCGAGAAACGTTCCGCGCCACGCGCGGCATTATGCCGGGCATGGTGTCGTGCCGTAAATGAGCTCCCAGCTGGGATCACCGACGACAAGCAACGCGCACACCCGCTTCGAGGAGTGACGAGCTAGCCTTAAGAAACTCTTAAATGCACGCAGTGGACGTATTCGCGCGAGAATTCCGAGATCGCCGTTTACGCAATCTCCGGCGCAACACGCCGGCCGACGCATATCGATTTCATGTTGTGAGAACTTGCATGTACGAGCTTACAATCGCCTGCACGTGTGTGTAGTATATTTTTTTTACGCAGAGGTTTGCAAAACAAGCGAGTTGAATAGTGAGTGTTTTACATAAGAATTCTCTCAATTTTTTCAAAAATTCTCTTTATGTTTCACACGACATTACCAGCTCGCGTTCTCCTCAGTTTGACAGAATTGCAATAATTAATACAGCTTTTCGAGTTTGAACGGCGTTAGTGTAGTTTGTATTTTTATACCGACGTTTCGTCAACTTGATATTCAGGTTGCTCTTGAAATCCTGATGAAGTGAACTGAAATGTTCACGAAACGTCGGTATAAAAATGATACTAACGCAGTTTAAACTCAAAAAAAGTTCTCCGAATATTAATACAACACACCGTGCGAAAGCATCAAATATCAAATTAATACAGCTTTCTTTTTAAACAGATAGTCCGTAGTTGTTTCAATTTTTTGTATAGTTGCTCTCGACCGCTGAAGAAAGATTGATGAGAGTTGCAATAACACGGCAAGCATATCCTGTATGAGCACACATAAGTGTGACACGAAGAGTCCTATTGCAACCAACTTAAGAAACTTTCGTAAATTCATCTAGCTCGTTGGACGAAACTACAGTAAAGCTTTTGACAATTTAGCGGAAGAAGATTTATATGATGAGTGTCAGAGTGGCGCGCGCACGGCGCTACCTTGACGCCTTAAGCTTTTAAATATTTCATTTATCTCTCTCATTTATCTCGTTATCCAACTATCAACTGTTTGGTTTAAAACGCCTCGAGTTTTAATTATTTTAAACAGGAATGATGTTGAAAAACACTATACAAGCTGGCATTTTTCGCGTAAAAAGTTGTTTATCGATCTTGTTTTAATATAACGTGCAATTTTATCACGCTTATTTACTGTACAAATATATTTTATTTTGAGTACTGTACAAATATATTTTATTTCTGACGTCAGAAATACGAAGAACATCCATCATTAAAATTGTTAAACGTTTACGATTTCTAACATCGAAATCACGCGCGCTTTAATTCTCGATGACTTGGGTGTTTTTTTTCAGCGTGTTTATGAGTAATTTTTCAATTTGTTATTACTTCTCAGCAAATATAGAAAAGTGCGCGCAGTGGGAAATGGTTACAGTTAGATATCGTATACAAACCTAAAAAAGCTACCGATACTGTCTCGTAAAAGTTGCAATGGAAGTTTAATCGAGTTCTACGCGGAGGAACGTCTGGTGCCAGGGTAGTAAAGATAAACCGGTCCTTATATCGTCGATCCTTGAGAAAGGACTAACGGGATTCCTGAAGAGGGAGAGAGAGAGAGAGAGAGAAAGAGAGGAGGAGGAAGAGGAGAAGAGATCGCATATCCCGGCGGATTTCCGAATCCCAAGTTCATCGAAGTTTAGATCACTAATCGGACTTGCAGTAGGGTCAGGGACGGAATCCAACCACTCACGCGCGCGCGGATTATTTGAGAGAAATATCCCTCCTCCCGTGGATACGGAGATCCCGAGACAGAAAAATCTCAAATTCGGAATGTTGCAAAACTTCTTCTATTCGCGTCAAAAACACCAGAAACTTGCATTTTCATCGATCGTTTCTGCGGGTTCTTTTTCCCTGACTTCTTCGAATCAGTTATATCTAGAGAATTAACAGGTTAATACTGTGCATACATATAAACGGCAATTTTATATTTTAAGTAAATATATTCTTTTCTTGATATGTATAATTTGGATTTTGATTAGTTTTAATTAAATGAGACATATATAGATGTATATTTTACTTCGTAAATCTTCTCATGAAAGCGTCATAGCGTAAAAGTTCTAGAATGAATCATACATCAGAAATGATACAAAAAGACTATATTCAACCATGTTAGAGAAGATCGTCTTTAAGGGGGTTACATCGCGTAACGGTGGCGTCCTCGTGAGACCTAAGACGAAGCCGGAGGTCATGTGGCCGGTTAAGTCACCAAGAAGCCGGGCTTAGCCGGCGCCCAAATCCAAGTTCGGCTCACCTGGATTAATTCCAACATAGGGTCGACCCCAAATCGCTGTTACGCTGTCTTTTCCCTTGCTAGGCTAAAGCGACTTAGAGTCTCTCCCCGCTTTCAATTAATGAAACGTTCACGCGGCTCACCTTCATCGCTCTGTCACTGAGGTTCATTCGACGCGAATTTCCGAATCCTTCATGCTAACTATTCTGAACTCTCCTATATGTAAATGTGACAACAATTTAATTATCGACTAAAATGTTTGAGATAACAATTTTAAGTCGTTCTAACTTTTATTCACGGAAGTATAGGAACCGAAATTATCTTGTTTGACTTTGTCGGTTGACGAATCAATTGACGAATTCAAAACAGCAAAAACATACTTGAAGATAAAGATGTAAAGCTGCAAAGAGAAGAGAAGGCCCGCACCCTTCAAGAAGAGTAAACGCCCGAAAAGATACGCGCTCCTAAACGGATTGAATATCGCGACAATTATTATATGTACAAGTTTTTAAATTCTATTAATTTTTTAAACTGTTAATTTCTCTAAATAATTTATTTATTCAAGTAATTAAATACTACAGAAATTTGACTCATCAAAAACGTAAATTTCCAACGTCTTTCTCTTGTATAGATTTTTTTGAATCTAAAATAACGCGGCATGTATATATCAGCAATTTTATATATATATATATATAGTTCAAGCCTCTTTAAGATAACGTTTCGAAAATGCATTTCGCATCAAATAGCAAAGGAGCATCGAAGATTCACGGGCAAATCAGATATCAGACGATTAGTATTAAGGAGCTCATGCTAAATCAACTGCTTGTATACGGGACCTTTGTTCCGGACTATTCATCATCGATATGCGTGTTCAAAGCTAACGAAGAATGATCAAGAGAGACGACAAAGGGTCAAATCGTTTTTGACGCAATTAAACAGGAAATACATTGTCAGAACGCAAAACATTCATAAAGATTTTAAAATGCACGAGACGTAAGATTTAAGCAAAAAAGAGTTTTAAAAGTATAAAATGTATTAAAAAATTAATTCAATACAATAACAAAATAAACAAAACAATAGAGATTATGTTTGCGCGGTAATATTGATATCATTGCATATAACAAAGCATTTCAATCTTTTAAATTTTTCTAAACACAATTGTTGTTCATATATAGCATTATTTACATTGCATTGACAGCTTGTTAACGGCAAATAACAATAACTTTGTATGTTTTTACAATTATGAATCTTGACAACATTTGAGAAATCACTGCAGACAATCAAGACATTTCTAATTGTGTTCTCCTAATCGCAACTAGTCGAAACAGCTTGAACAGATCATTCCCGATCGATCCCCTCCTTTCACGTTTGCATGCCCACACGAAACACACACGTACATGGAGGGTATGGACACGCTCTATAGTGCGTGTCGGAGGGAAATCGGACAGCAATTACCACCGCAATCCCGCGATGCGAAGTGGATGGGCTCTCAGACTGGCCTGCATAGCCGAGTTGAAAGGACAGAGTTCTGCGGCAAGGAGACTACGGTTGCAGATCTTGAGCATCTCGTCCATAATAAACGCTTATCGGCACTTCAGTTTCGATCATCGGCTTCTCCCGATAGATTTTAGGATTCTAATCTCAATTATTGCAGTAAGCGCCACAGCAACACGATAGAGAACATCCTTTATCTGATGCGCTCTTCCCGGAATTTTATCTCCGCGTTTTGGCGCTGCTACAATTCGAATATCTACATACTCGACTCGAATTATCCTGGTAATAACTCCTCAAATTAATTTTTCTCATTTCACAGCGCGAGATACGTACATTTATACTTACCGAATTTATACTTTTATACTTTTGTTATTAAAAGTGATCGACAGACCGAATATAATGACGTTCTGTGTATATATTTATACACAGAATATAATTCTCTCTCTTTCTCTCACCGTAGGTAAAATAACAAAAAAAATGAATCAATTAAAGTATGGTAAATTTTTCCAACTTTAAAAGAAAACACAATAAACTCTTCAGGAATACAATGACGATATATGGATCAATGCCGCGATATTTATAATTCCGCGTACAAAAGGGTTGACAAAGTTCATTATAAATGAAAGTGTTATGTCTATGCGCACGCACAATAAATCGTGCTTGTAATTTTCAAAGAATGGAACGAAATTAAAAAGTGTCTATAGAATTTGCTGTGTAGTTGCGCAACATAGAAAGAGAGAGAGAGAGAGAGAGAGAGAGAGAGAGAGAGAGAGAGAGAGAGAACCTTGTAGCGAAAGTTCCGTTAATATTTCTGACAAAAATTTTCATTATAAACAGTAAAAAAAACATGCGTGTAATAACAGCAATGAAAGGTATAAAGAAAATGTTGATAATTGCATTTTTCAAATACTATTATAAATAATACTTTCGCATCGAAAAGCGCATCAAAATGTGCTTCAGACATTCAAGTCAAACAGAAGTACAAAAAAGTAACACTTCGAAGGAGATTAAGTATATTCTGCACATCGACAACCGATAAAGTTTACTCTTGAATGGAACCAGTTTCGAAAACTTTCCGATTACACCAGTGTAAATATCCGAGTTGGAGTTTTAAAATCCAGGACTCTTCTGGTTTCGTTCCTCGATATCTGAAATTGTCGAGATCCGAGAGACTTCGCTTTTCTGACGCATCGATGACTATATCTCTGCCGCCTGATGCTTCGCAACGATAAAAAGTATTACGTACTTTTAAAGCGTGGACCGAGAGAAACGTTTTCCGCGGAGAGAGGACGACGGAAACGACAGTGGCGCTAATTATTCTTTCCCGCTGGACCGTAAAAAAAGGCGTCCGGTCTCGTCGGGGAGATGGAATAACCGGGCGAGGTTACGCGATAAAAACGGAAATGGAAGGGAAAAGCGCGTTGCGCACGTGGAAGACGAAGCGCTTTAGCGACGTCTGACAAGGTTGCTCGTGGAACGAGAAGGAACCAGACGAAGAGACTATGAAAGGGGTCTAATGGCGGATGAGGAGAAAGGGCGGGCGAGCGGGACTGAGAAAAATGACGACGGAGTAAACAAAGCTAAGTGAAGTTAACGATCGAGCAAGAAGAGCGGCAAAAATGACCTCGGGAAAATTACCGTACGCGCAACGGCTTAATGTCCAAAAAGACGAGAGCAGAAAAGGGAGGAGGTAAATAAGAGAGGTAGAGGAAGGAAGATAGAATAGAAAACGGAGGAAGAAGGGGAAGAGAGAGAGAGAAGAAAAGAAAAAGAAAGCCTAGAGAGAACGAGGTCGTGAGAACGAGAGAGGTATTACAGCGACGGGGGGAGAAAGGAAAGCTGCAGCTGCTTAATGACCACCCTGTACATTCGTATCTCTCTTGAATAGGCTTTCCTTTTCTTTCCCGTCTTCTTTTGCAGTTTCGCTTCACTCTCTTTGCTCTCCTCGACTCCTTCGTGGCCCGGCGCACGCTGGGCGCCTCTGGGACCATTATCTGTAATTGCTTTCCTTAATTCGATGTTCGTTGCCCATGTGGTGGAACAAAAAAATCGTGTAATAAGTTAGAAGTGGGTTACCTAAGTGCGCTTTGACGTGTTGAATCGCATGAAAAATTTAAATTCAAGTTCGTCACATGGCGTTTTGCGCGACGAGCTTTACCACGACTTGCACGCTTCTCGCACTTAATCCTTCAATCTCTGTACGCTAATAACATGAACTCCGTATAATTTTCAAAATTACTAGTTGCATATTCTTTACACGGTTTAAAATGGCACACAATTTTATACACAAATGTAAAAAAAAGTCAAATGGAATACATTCATGAACAATTGTCTTCCTGGAAAATCGATTCTGGAAATAAATCGTTCCGCCAAAATTTACCAGAATCTCTTACGTTTCGTATTCAGATATAGATTCTTCAATTTGTTTTTCAGCGACGAGCAGTTCGGAAAGACGAGCACAGAACATGTTGCATAAAACAAAACGGACGCCCGCGTATGCGACGATCGAGCGGCAACTGATCGACGCTGCGACGGTCGTAAATCACTTTACTGACGATTGATTCGGCGCTACTCGTTTTAGTCGGGACGCAGTGATGTTTACGAAACTGCACGTGCACGTAACACTGTTCTGTCTATGTTGCTTGTGCGTACACGCTTGTTGTACATACATACGGTGGCTTCATTTACTCACGTTTAATGATACGCAACGTGACGCCGCCCTCGTAACGTTTCATCACGGTTCCATTGGGTTACTACTCGCTTTCTTTGCATTGCAGCTTTGTATTTGCACTCGTGTTGTGCAAAAATCTAATTTCTCGTGGTTAAAACTCTACTTTAGAAAAGTGAGATCATTTTTATAATTATATCAAATAAACAAATATATAGCGATATATACATATCCTTCAAGGTTAATTCCGGCGCGTTTCAAGAAATTTCTTGATAAGCCGATGTACATACGTACGAACATCTAATGGGGTGTGGTGCGTTCGTCTCGTAACGTTGTCTCGCGAGGGTATAGTGATCCGTCTTGCTTACTGCCTCGCGTCGCTGACACCACCCACCCGCTATGTGGAAACACCCGCTATCCGATTCAACCCCGCCCGTAAGACCCACATGAACCCTGCGGTGACCTTGCGTCGAGCCAGCACCTTTCGCTAATCTCCAGGCAATCGCGGATTACTGTTAAATTGAGCAGAGGAGAGATTGCTCGGACTCGTCTTCTCAGTAATATTTCTCATTCGACTTGGCTAACAAATAAGTGACAGAGATACGCGATTTTTCATTCCGTAGAGAGAATTCAACCCTCTCGCATCCATTTTATCGATGTTGTCAGATATATTATCATACAACTATAGATTCATGCGTATTTATATAAATTTGATTAATAAAATAATTGCGATTTACTGGTCAACGCGACACGTTTCGCGACTTACCAATTTGTCAATTATAAACGATAGAATGCAATAAAATGCTATGTGTTAAATTTTATTTGAAAAAATTTGACGACAAAGTTTTCGTCAGCGAGACAACGCGATTCGAATTCAGGATATTTACCTGTTCGTTTCTCGGCATCGCGATATGTGACCTCACTGAGGATGACGGGCTGGCTACGTCCCTTGGCATTAACCGCGTAGACCGCCACGTGGACGCCAGCTTCGACTGAGGCTTCTAATCCAGCGAGTGCAAAAGTCGGCTCGTCAGGATTCGAGACATTGTAGAGAGGCTGGCTGGTTGTAAGGAAGTCGACGTCGCCGTGATAAACCTCTAAGACGAATTTCTGCGGTAGTCCTCCGTCGTAGCCCGCTACGCATTTTACCTCTACACTGGTATACGTCTGATTCGCCAAGGTGCAATTGCGTACTGGAAACGGCTTTCCTGTAACAAAGATGAAAAATCAAAGATAGCTAATGGAGTGAGATAAGATTATGTTATCACATTTTCGTCGTTTTTCTATAAAAATAAAACTTGTGGAAAAATGTTACAACAGACTTTCTTTTGTTTTTGACTTCCGGCGACAATAAATCTCTTCCGACGGCACACACAACTGCTGCTATCACTTCCGTTTTGTGACATTCTTTCTAAACGCATGTGTTACTTTCAAGAGCAACTCTACAGGTTGGAGAGAGAGAGAGAGAGATAGAGAAAGAGTAGAAACGTGTTTTTCCCTTGAAAATCAAGCCAAGGAACGCGAGTGAAAAATACTGGCGCGTCTACGACTGGCAAAGATTTAGTGTAACAAGATAGTAATGGGCATAGAGATATCCCATTTGCTTTTTCTTGTCGCTCCTTTGGTTTCCGAGTCAAACTACTGCCGTTACCGACGCACTTCAATTGTCAGTAAGTTTTTCTTTATCAAAACCTTTCGCATATCACTTTTCTTTGTAAACGTGTTTGTTTTTTGAATCAAATTTAATTTTTGCGCATTCTTATCGGGATCAGCGCAACTATGGCGAAAAAAGAAACAGATATCATTTGTTCCTCTCAAACGAAATACGCCGCGTTCTCGTCTCTCTTCGATTTTGCTCGTCTTCGTCTTATCTTTATCTTTCGATATTTCTCTTTTCACGTTCGTTCGCGAGACACTCGGGATTTCATTTCTTTCACGTTAATCACAAAGTCCGTTACCATTGTCATTGTCGTCGTCGTCGTCGCCGTCGTCGTCGTCGTCGTCGTCGTCGCCGCCGCCGCCGTCGTCGTCGTCGTCGTCGTTGTCGTCTCCCTCGTTATGACTCTCGCGGATCTCCAGAACGTATATTGAATCTCGACAATGCTTCGTTTGTACTTTACGCGCGCGCTCGTTTCCGTCTTTGCTCTTTTGCTTCTTATGTCTCTTTGCACGTAGCTGGACCCCATTCTCCGCGAGCAAACATTTGTAACCTGCGCTCTTTCGCGCTGTAAAGGGCTCCGCGAGGATAGGAGGTAAATTCAAATTAGTTTTGCGCGCAAAGAAGGCAGCTCTAAATTTGTCAAACTGGATGACTCGTAAAATAGCGTATTTTTTTTATGTTATATTTTTCTGCACGTAAGTGCTTTCTTTATTATACAAATCATTGCTTTAACTATTACAAAAAAAACCGCAAGCAATGACTGTATCACGGAAAAATATGCAATATTTATATTTTTTTCTTATTTCGGCCAATTCTTTCTGAAATAAAGAGAGAACCCTCTTTTTGTGCGTCCATTTGTGCATTCGCAAATCGTAAATTTCCATACGTTGCGGAATTCCAATTATGTTCGATGTGCGTAACAAGTGACGTCTACCACGATTCACGATTCCACCGTGAAATTCGTCCCGGAAATCTCGTCTTTTTACCGTTTTTGCATGCTTCGACGGGCGCATTCCTTGCCGAAATGCCTCGCGAAATGGTAACCGACATCAATAACGTCGGCGGGGAAAGGAAAGAGGTACAAAAATAATTTCATGCCATCGGGTTTACGGGTCGTTGGCATTGGCGGAGCGCCGCGAGAGGGTTTCGATACCGACGCAAAGGAGCGGATGGAGCGCGAGAACGCGCGACGAGGACAGATGATTTTATTTTCGGGGGGGGGGGGAAGAGAGTGCCGCTCACAATCGACGTATCCGTCAATGTCAATACGTTCTCGGTCGATCGCCATGTCAACGTCACTGTCGATCACGTACACGAGCTGAAAGAAAAAAGAAAAACGCGAAAACGCGAAAAAATTCGGTTGGAGATTAATGCCGATTTAACGCACGATGATTGGTCGCGTTCTATCTATCGTATCGCGGTGACGATGATTCGTGGAAGAATTGCTCGTACTATTTTTCTTTTCAGAAATCATGTAAAAATAACGCGAGGAGCTTGTATTTTTATCGTGACTGCTTTTGGGCAGAAAGAGTAGTGATATGTATGAACATTGCACATTATTAAAAATACAGTTAAATTTTTAATCTAATGCAACACAGATATATTATATTAGATAATAGCGCGCCATAGATTTTACTTTTATTTCAGTAGTTAAAGCACATTTTGAGTATAAAATAAATATTAAACGTTGCTTTTTAAAAAATTTTTAATAATATTTTTAGATATTATTTATATGCGTAGATTGCTTACGCGCTTTTTGTTGTTTTCTCAAACAAGAGAAATTTCACAACTTTAAACAAGTATGCACCGATTCCGTAATCCAATAATCTATAATCCAATAATTCACGTTCTCTTTCTATCGACGAGTAGCAGTTTTTAATATTCATTGCTATATAGAATGCTTCTTTTGCTTTCAAACTAGCAACGTTTGTAAATAAACAACAAAAATGTTTGTAAAATGAAAAAAGAACGAAGGACAAGTATTTGGATTCCATCTCCAATTTTTTATATTCCATTCTTCTTGATAAAACAAAAAATAAAATGGAAAATTCTTTGAATAGAAAATATTTACGTTAAATATGACATACAATTGGAAGAAGAACAAGCGTGAAATTGATTACTATACTTGGTTTAAGCATGCACTCACCGGCTGCCACCAACTGGAAGAGACACGGCTTCGACTGAGTACCGACAAGATTGTCCGCCCAACACGAGAGAGTGCCGTAATCCAGTTCAGTTTTCGGTGTGTATCTCAGCACGCTGACGCCGTTCGACTTCTCCATCGAGAACCTACCAGGTGCTACCTCCAGAGTCTCGCCGCTATTGTTGAATTTCCAGCGGAAATTGTGCGCTGGCGGATCGGCCTCGACCCTACAGGCAATGTCGAGCGACTCGCCTCTCGATGCACCGACCACTATGATCCGATCCTCCTTGCACACCGGCGCGACTGTAAGTAGAAATATCGATTTGTATGATGTGTATCATTCCAAACGAGAGAGAAGTCTTCTTTCGTTAAGCGTCTTAGAGATTGCAATAAACGGGTGAATAAATGAGATTTGATTTTCGCTTATACCACGTAGATTTTAACATCGGAATTTTTCTCACGCGTGTAAGTGGTCTTTATGCGAAATTTACAACAAATTAATCAACATTCTTTAACAATCAACTAAAAAAAGCACAGAATTTTAACAAATCTGAAAAAAAGATATATACCTGTGAAAAGATATATATCTGAGAAGAGAGATATTATATCTAACAATCAAAAGAAAAAAAGCATTCTTCAGTTTAATTATATATAAACAACATTTTAAAATAACCGGTAAATATTTGTTGAAAAGAAAGTAAAAAGTAAATATCTCAGAGAGAGCAGGCTTTTCTTCTTTTCATTTTTCACAAAATGAAGCTTGCAAATTTTGTCTGCAAATTAGTACTTCGAGTAATTTGTTGCTTAGCGATGAGAGTATTGATCGATTAGATTTCTCAATAAAGTCATTAATATATTTTTTTTAGAGTTCACTTTCTATTTTCGAATAAGTTTTTAGATACATTGATATGATGGTTTTTTTCCATTCTCGATCTGAGTATTCTATATCGAACGCTTCGCTTTGTTATACATCAAAGAGTGACAAAGCCAACGATAAAACAATAAAATAGATTCGTTAAAAATAATAAAACTAAAAACTAACAAAAAATGTACTATTGTAAATTCCCTTTTATTACGCTTTGTATAAAAAATATTACAAGGAGAGTACAGATTGTTTTATACCTTCGTGGATGAGAATAATCGATCGTTTCCCGATAACATCTCACACGAGAAATTATATATATATCGTTCTGGAAATATTGGAAGATTTTAGAGGAGAAAAGAAAGGATATCTGTCAATCACACGGAGAAAGCGTCTCGGAGTAGACAAGATAACGCGAATAGCAAAGCGACTGACAAGATCCGAAAACTGTCTCGGAGTTATCTGTACACACGGGTCGAAAAATTTTCTCTTGCCCGTGCGTATTCTAACGATAAGCCAATGATGACCTACATATCGCAACTGCATCTAGGAAAACACACAAATGACAGGAATATCGTATGTACGCGATTTTTCTTGTACGTTTCGGCATTTTGTCACAAAGAGGGAAGATGCCGCATGTAATCGGCCGGAATCGTTTTATCAACGCGAGTTATGCAGAAGAAAGATCTTCGCTTCTTTCCTTCGTCTTCTCTCTTCTTGCGAAAATATATTTGTGCCAATTTATCTGCGTTTATCTTCGCCTCCCTTTGTCTCCATCTGTCTCCCACGCGAAAGAAGAGCACGAATGAGAAACAAATACAAATATGTGAGTTTTACATACGTCGGGAACACATTTGCAGAGCGAAATTAATATTACACAATAATTAAAATAAAGATGAAAATGCTAATAAAACGCAAAGCATTCAATAAACAATTGCTAGAATATAAAACGTATTAAATCCAAGTTGAAAAGCTTTCGCGATTTCTGGTCGCTAAAAGAGTGTTCATTATTAAACTCAATGTCACTTTTATTACAGACTTTTCGGACTTTATTGTGCGTAATTTCGACACATTTCTCATTGTAATTCGATCGCGAAAACAAGCAATTGATATTAATTTTCGATGATAGCCATAATGCAGAAAGTTGGAGTTTTTTACGAGATTTGATAGTGAATTATAAACGAAAGAATATACACGATGCTGCGTGTGTAGCATGTAGAATTTATTACAAGTTTATTGTTCTTCTCTCTCTCTCTCTCTCTCTCTCTCTCTCTCTCTCTCTCTCTCTCGTAACTCTGCATTGTTCCATTCACAGTATTTTCAATTGTTTCGTATTTGAACTTTGATCGAAGCTTTTTACTTGGATAAGCATCGGGAAAAAATGCACCATCAGAAAAAGTTCACGATTAAAAGCAAACGCGACATAACGCGTGAACTAATATAGTATTTGCGATGTGTGTACATTGCGATGATCTGTGAACAACAGCAAGGTTTCAATTGTATTGAAATCATACACATATTGTTTTCTGTATTTATAAAAGCAGAATGTAATATTTGAGTGCATTATAATTGGAAGAAGAAGAAGAAAAAATAAAGCGTGCATGAGTAACAAAATAAGTGGATTATTAAAATAAGAAAATAACAAAATAATGTAATAATAAAATAAGTAGATTATAAATTTAAAAAAAGTCAAATTTTTATTTGCATATTTGATGTATCAAATGGAAGTGTTGCAAGTGTTACTTCTTGAAATCACATAGAATACGGAATATAACACACATAATACATTCAATTAACAATAGCTTTCTACTAATACACTGAATAAAACAAGAAATTAGCAATGAATGATGTTGAATGTAATAATAATTACAGCTTACACACACAATTAGTTCTCATGAAAATTAATTAACGATTCGTGTATCAGATATAAAACAACGGAATGATTTAGTTATGTTTATTAATTAACACTTATTATTATTTATAATTTCGAGCGTTGTGTTACTTAATTAATATAGATTTTAATGTAACTCTTACCATATCTCTCATATTTTCTATATTTTTATGTTTTAATTATATTGCAGACATTCTTGTGAAATAAAAACCTGAAGGTTAATAATTATTATACTACAAGTTTTTCACGCCACCTTTTCTTTAAAGTTATCCGATATTTTTGATTCAAATACTCTAAATTTCATTAAATTATAGTTCTTATAGTTCATTGATAGAGTACAAACTACTCTTATATTTCTTTCTTCAACAAAACTATAATAACCAAGAAAATAAATCATCAAACTTTCTCGATTTGGATTTGGAAGTATTCGCGAGATGCCTACTTATTTCCGAAACTATTTTCCTTATCTTTACACGATTGTTTTATGAGATCTGTAGTTAAATCAATATTTAACTCTCAATACCACAATGGCTCAATAAAGTCGCATTTGCGAGATTTGAAATTTATTTACATTATAAATGTTTAATTGAAGTATTGTTCTCTTGAAGATTTTATGTTCTTCACCAAAATACTCAAAACCGGATGCGAAATTTTGTCGAAATGATCGAGAAACGAAAGTTTAGTTTTTCCCCAAATATTCGCCAAGACGAAACGCTTTCTACAGGTTGCACGAGTCCTTTCATGCTTTTTCCGTGAAGTCTTCCTTATTCGGGAAGACCGCTTTGGTAATTCGTGCACTCAAGAGTTTTCACGAACAAGAATCGCGCTCACGTGTTCCCATAGCTACGCTACGAATCACTTCTTTCACGGAAACTCACGAGGTGCCTTCCGTGCCAACACTCGACTATAACCTCGGAATTGGGTTTAAAAAATGTAGATAGTACTAAGCACTATTGAAATATTCACGACGAATGTGATTCCCGAGATCCGCTGCGTGTCAGTTAATATAACGCGCGAGAACACGCTTTCGCCGCGACGTATAACGGGAAATATTCGTAAATTGCTCGGAAATGGAAATCGTCAACGAAAGATCTCGTGATAAACAATTTTAGCGGAAGATATATATGTATCATATATATACATATGTGGAAATATATATATATATACATGTGTATATATTTTATAGTAAACATTTACATATGACACATAATAATAAAAAATTTAATCATTTCTATGTTATAAGTCTATTATTAATGAAATTATTTGTCACAAGCTAACTTACACTTAACTCGAAAATGCAGAGGTTCGCTGCGCGTTTCGTTCAATGCGTTCGTCGCTGCGCAAACGTAATGACCAGCGCTGCTTCTCGTCACACTTTGCAGGACGAGACTTTGATTCGACCAGATAATCCTCGCCGATGTGTTATGCGCCAGGATTTGGTTCTGTAAAAATAAATGTCAGATTAAGATTTTTAAGTTAAATAAATTCTCTTGCTGCATAAAAGACAATCACTACGAAGCTAATATTCTTCGGCGTTGTTATACGTGGTAATGTCGAGATATTTATCGGATAATTGTCAGCAAGAGAGAGAGAGAGAAAGAGAGTGAGAGAGTTCCGCGAGATCGCGCGATTTCATTTCTCGTTATATTTTCTAATTTCGTGATAAATTAGAGATAACACGCGCGCGACCGCGTCTCGCAACGACGCGTTCTCCCGTCTGTGTTACGACCGTTCGTTATCGTATCATTTTTTTCCAAGAAACGCCACAGCGTGGACCAAGAGCGGTTTTACGAGCGCGCGAGTATCTACAGAAGACAAAAGAGAAATATCTTACAAGATTACGAGAGAGCGAGCATCTAATGCGCGCTATTACAAGTACCGTACAATATTGTTGCAACTCGAACGAGTTAACGAGTCGTATTCGCGTAATGGCTTATCAAAAGCTTTCGCAAAACCGGTTATTACTACATTTGCGTGACTCTGCGCTAATACGTCTAAACGTTTATACTTTATTGTTCGAAATCACGACAGTAACTATTAGTTACGAAATTATAATATTTCGTCACATAACTGATACAAAAAGAGGTAATGAAAGTTCATGTTTTTTTACATATTAATTGTTTTCTATGAAAATTTAAGTATTTAATATAAGTATTTAATATAAGAAATTTTTAAATTACAACAAATGACGGTTTTTTCTCAGGTTTACGAAAATCAAATTCCAATTTATTAAACAAATCGTTTGTTTAATAAATTTGTTCTCAAAAAACGATCGAAAATGATGGTTCTGTTACATCCTATCCCTATATATATGTACATATAAGTATTGACAATATATAATAAAGTAACACATTTTTTTATCTTATTATTATTAATATTATTAGTATTATTAGATTTTGTCTTATTATTATTTGCCAAAATATATAACAAATACATAATTGTACCGGTTGTGAGAGAAGTTGCGCGCACAGTTACATGTTGCTGTAACGAATTTGCCGGTTTAATTAGCTCGTAAGGGGGTGAGCTCCATTATGTCCTTACTTCGTCCTTGTTTTCGCGTCTCGCGACAAAATGAGAAACGGGACAAATGTAGTGCTAATATCGTGCTCCCGTTGAAACTTGCAGCGGGGGAACAAACTCGGGAGCGGAACAGCCGCACGTCAGAGCCAACAAGTAGTAGGAGTCGGTGCATACGCCGTCGCTGCCGTTGCCAAATGCAGGCCGAACCGCTTAATCAGGCGAGAGACGGCCTTCGAAAGTTCCACGACCGCCGTCTACCTAATTTACAGGTTGGTTGTCGACGTAATTCATAATGTAATTACAAACTCGATTAGTAAAAATTAATTATTAAAAAGTTGTCTTTACGTTTAGAGTTCAGTAAGAGCATTGCTTCATCCGGTTCTTTCTTCCTTTCTGAAAAGGACCTTCTCAATATCTGCGTTTTCTCAATATTTGGTTTTCGACGATTTCACTTTTTATTTTACTGTTTTTCGATCTTTTTATCTAGACAAACGCGCCGTAAAAGTCTGACACGCAAAAGAAGAAGAACGAAAGAAAGCGCGAGATTATGAGAAGAATATCTCATAGAAAGAGAGAGAGAGAGAGAATGCAGCGTGTGCTTGTCATAGTGCATTACCCTCTAAAAGCGATTCTGCCTATTTAATCAGAGAAGAACGACAGTCTCGAACCGTCTTTGTCTCGCCGGCAAACATTTTCTCGGCCAGTAAAAGTCCCTTAAGTTTTTCCCTCTCTATACCGTCATCTTCCGTTTCGATTCTTCCGTACCTCTTACCTCACTACCGTTTCCTCCATTACACGACGAAACCCTCCTTTCTCCCCGTTCCACCAGAATTCGCTCGCCGAAGATAATTCGAAATCGATTTGCAACGAGGCCATTTGAATCTTGAAGGAGAAGTTGGAAGAGGAGAAGGAAAGAGGAGAGGAGTACAGAGATTTCTTCTTCCACTTCTGTCTACTCCGTCGGGACGTTTCTTTCTCGCGGACGACGCCCGAAGGGATAGATTTATTCAATTGTTTTATAATCTCGGCAGCTCGACACGCTGCGCACTGTGGTAGTTGTCCCGTTCAAATCCCACTGTTCGTCGCTATTTTTTGCTCGACCAATTTCACGACAATGGCAGACAGATATTTAATTACTCCAGCTTGATTAACTTGCGATGCATCGATAAAAATTGCTAGGCTAGCGCGATTAAGATATATGAGCGATAAAACGACATTTAAGTGTTTAAACTTTAAACAACACATTTTATTCAGTTTTACATTTTTTGTTAAATCAGCGCGTTACATTTCATCTGTTAACAAAATTTTCAGTGCAATATAAAAAATGACATGTTACTCATCACGTAAAAATTGACCGAGTGGACATACGTGGAATATTTTTAAAATTAAATTTAGTCTGAATAAAAATGTTTTTGTTCAGTAAAATAAAATAAAAAACAATAGAGAAAAAAATTGTCAGATAAACATAGTATTCGCGCTAGCCATTAGTGCGCTAACTCAATTAAACTGTATTGTAATCTACGTAACCATGCCGTCCATGTGGTTGAGACTAGGCTAGAAGGCTTAACGCGCTTAGCATAGGTTAAGCCCCGGTTAAATCCCAAAATTTATCTTCGATTTACTTGCGGCAAGAGACGAAAAAAGACTCGGAGAAAAACTAGTTAAACGGAAGAAATTAGTTAAGATTGACGAAGAAATGTTTGACGAGAACACATCTTCGCATCTTTCTACTTCTTTGAAAGTCTATCAAAATACTTTGCAAAAGCATTTTCTATTATTATCATACACACACATAAATATTAATTTAATTAATTTAAGGATTAATGGTGAGTGTTGCGTTAAAATTGAGAGAGAGAGAGAGAGATACAACATCTTTTTACTTCAACGTTTCTGTTACTCTTTAAGCCATTAGAAGTGGTTTAAGAAAATATGTTTCCATATTTATATGTCGCGCTTCAGTCTTCTAATCTTTTTCGTTTCTTTTCACTTACGTGCGTTAAACTTTTTTTTAACTTTTTTCTAAGAAATAAAATTCTTGAAAAAAGTGTATTGCGGTTTATTTCATACTGCTTATTTCAAACGAGAGTCATTGAAGCTTATCGGTCAAAACCACCGTCAAAGACACTCTACGATGGAGATTTGATCGATATCGCAACAGCTTACACGTATGTCCCGTTGCGTACTCCTTTTCCTCTCTCTTTCTCTCTCTCACTCACTCTCTGTCTTTCTCTTCCACTTCGGTAGAGATAGCGAAGTTTAAAGTTTCCTTTCGCGACTCGAATCTCCCCCACCTTTCTGTTCCCACGAGTCGGGATTCCGTTCTTTCGTCGTTTCCATCCGCGTTTCTCAGCGTCGTCTCGACGAGGCGGAATGGAGAGTACGATATCGCCCTGTGTAGTCAGCTCCTGACTTTCGTTTATCTTTTCTTGCAACCGAGCCATTCTGCGAAGAACCACCATCCGTCCTGCACCTCCTCCCACTTATCCAATCTATTTCTCCACCTGGTATATTTGTATTTGTTCGCATAAGTAGATTCATGCCGGTAATTTTCTTCTAATTTTGATAGTTTGTCATATTAATTGTAATTTCGTTCAAAATGATGATGAAGATATTAAAGAATTATATTGCAGAAAAAGAAGCAGCAAAAAAACCTTTATAATATTACAATTTAAATTACTACCGATAGTTTGGCGCGATAATATATACGTATATATACACTTAAATTACAGATATGTGTGTAAAATCGCGCATGTTTCAATTACACGGCATATTTTTAATGTTATTAACATTATTTTGAACGTTATTGGTAATTAATTTAATATCGTCACGGCAGTGTGATAGACGCAACAGAGCTCTTTGATCAGTCAGTCTCAAGACTAGAAGCAACGAGAGGGAACTACGTTTCCAATAATTAGGTTTCATAGGGTTTGCTCCGTAAATGAGGATCAACTAACTTTCCCATTGTGTCCATTCTCCGCGGAGAAGATAGCTGACACCCTTCCATCTTCAGCCTATCGACAACCCCCTCTAATTGCATCACTGGCGTAAAGGAAAAGCCATCTCTCTAATGACTAATGCTATATTTGTATAGTTCCGTGTCTCTTCGATAATTCCGTTCCAACAAATCATTCAAACAATCGCGGTGATATTGTGTTGAACAAAATTGGTTATATGATATATCAGATCTTTAATTTAATTGAGCACATAATTTGACATTATTTCTAATAATTTCTTCAAACGCGAAATCGTAATCGACAGTAATATAGTAATCGCATTATTTATATGTAGACTCCCTATTTTTCTAGGTATCTTGCGCCCCAATCGATAGTAAGACATTTCATCCGCGACATTCGATTTCTAGAAACGCGCCAAAGAACGGCTACGGTTAGTCCACGAAATCTCAAGACGTACTTCTCTGGACGGTCCGTCCAATTTCGTTTTGGCATCGTCTCTCTCGGATCCTCCGAAAGGATCTATCGAATTTCTTCGCGCCCTTCAACGAAGGATCGTCTCCTGTAGGAATGCTCGGCGGTTCTGGACACAGGAACCATCACAGGAAGATCTTGTGCGGTCGCGTGATCTTCTCTCGTACGCTTCTCGGACGCAAAAGGAACAAGTCTCAAGAAGAAGAAAGGGCTTCTGTCAAGGGAGAGGGGATTGTTCATTCCGGTCAGACGGCGCACTGATTCTTTGAAAAATTGCCAACAAGCCGGAGCCATACTTCTTTCCTTCCTTTTTTCTTTTCTTCTTCTTTTTCCTTTCTGTTCCTTTTTGCTTTGCCTCTTGGCAAGCTGCTATTCCTCAAAGCATCAAGAACCGTTTTATTCCGGTTAGTCTTCATCGCTAACAGCGGTCACAGGCCTCTTCTGTTCGTTCACAGAGATATGGCCGGTCTTCCCAAACCACCGTTCGCGATTCAACC